GTTAAGTACGCAAGTCTTTCCTACAGATTCTACATATATTAGCCGTCTCAGTATTTAGATCGTCGCCAATGCATGTGCCGAAACATAATAAATATATAGCTTTCAATCTTCAGAAAAGCGGAAGATTGGAATCACGACTGAAATCCTTTTGATCACTTGTGCTTTGGACGTGGGTTGTCCTCGAGTACTGCGGTTTCCTATCAGTTCAATATTAGCTCTTAATCAGGAACAAACAATGAACCACAGTAATTGAATTAGCCATGCTACTGTTATTTTTAACTCTGCATATAGGGTATCAAATTATCGCAATTGTCTCATTCACAGCGACAAATTATATTTGAGACATGTTATTGATTAAATTCAAACCAAAACTTGTTTGCAAAAGAAGCTTAATAGCTTCACAAAGAAGCTTTAGTTTTACTTCCTTGATGTGATTCATCATTTCTTTCGAATTGGCACAGGCCTTAATTTTTCACTAACGATGAGCATGCAGAACGGTTCCATACGTGTGCACTCCTGTTTCCTTATTTTACCACGACGAATAAAATATAATCGCAGTATAGAACCATGCAGACGCACTTCATCGTATCATTTTGAATAAAGCTTGATAGTTACAACACAACTGAGAAACCTTGAAATCATACAAGCAATAACTCGAATTCTTGCCTAAATCTATATATCATCAAAAAACTTAATCAGCCTTGTCAACCAAGGTTCTGTTTCAGATCATAAATTATACAGGATTAAGACACGAAACAAGAATAACCGAAGAAGATATATTTCATTGAGCCTATATAAATCATGCAGAACTGATTTTTTATCTTTAGATTATGCCGTTGTTATACAATTCACGACTAAATCCATTTTATATTGTTAACATAGATTGGAGTCCGATAGTCTACTGTACTTTATACTTTATATAAACCAAAGGAAACATATAAGAAATGCATTGTAACATTGTGCAAAAATTAACTCAGTGGTGTCATATTCAGGTATTTTCTACTAAAACTTATATATCTAGAAATCGTCAACATCGATTTACCAACAAAATCAATATATAAAGAATACATCATGCGAAAACTTAGTGTTGTCATATTGAAGGATTTTCTATTAAAACGTATATCTATAGAAATAGTCAACATCATCTTGATTCTAATATACTTTACTCATTAGCAAATGTCACATTGCTGGACACTTGGCTTCTTTGCACACAACGATTCCGCGTTTTTCATCACAGCATTTTCCTGTTGACGTATAATAGTACTCGATGCCACAACACTCGTGCCCAGGCATAGCACGGTGCGTCTCGCCGCAGCAGCAAACTTCGGTTTCAGAATCGATTATCTTCCTCCCACACAATTCCCCTTTATCGTGATAAGAAAAAAAATGAAAACTTTCATGTTTTCTGGGCAATGGCAGAGTTTTTACAGCGACCATTTCTCTCAGTGTAAAAGTCGGACGCAATTTTGTAAAATAATTGCCTTTTAGAAGACCTGTGGCGAGAAAGTTGAGCATATTCTAAAGGCATTACTTCCCATACTCCTCTAAAATGAATATCTATGCCATTCGGTTTTCTAAATATGGATTGCCGCTCCCTAATCCCACACACGCTCCAATCTCAGAAGCAAATGAATTCAATTCTAAAAGACCATTTTGAGAGATATGGGCACCAGACATGTCCTATGTAGGGCCCATATACTTCGCAAATTTTGTATAGCTTTTGAAAACTTAAAAATTCCTAAAACTGAAATAGCGTTGGCGGATCACGTTCGGTGTGTGTCGGCCTTTATAAAGTATGATGTTATTCATGATGAATGCGGAGTGTATTGGCTCTTTCAATTTGGGGTTCCAGAGGTGCATTAATTCCGGTTCCGTTTTCAACAGTTATGGTTACTGCATCCAGTATATTATCAGATCAGTTAACTTACCGCTAATAACGTTGAAATCCACACTGCAACTCTGGGTCCTTGAATTGCCATTTAACTCGTATGTGAACTCGTATACGATATTGTGTGGCCCGGCCTGAAATCTCTGTCCTGGTCTCGCTCCCTCCGGAGTAATTTTGGTATTTTGAATCACTGCACTTGATCCTTGCGGGCATTTGAGGGATGGCGGTAACCAAGTCACAACTGCATCACTTCCTTGCTTGATGTATTGAGGTTCTACAAGGTAATTCTCGCACCGGCATGGCAATTTCGCTGCGAGAGATTTAAAATGTTCCGCTATTTCATTTGAATTTAGTTAACCAAACTGAACGGTGAAGTTTTTAAGGTATGTTAAAAGAGATACGGAACGTTGGAAATTTGAGGACGCAAAGTGGCAGATTTGAAGAGCACTTCTGTATCGATGTTCACTAAAATTGCTGTTGAAATGCGATCAATATTTCGCCGTTCTTAGACTGACATGAGCGTGATCATCGAGTGTTTTCGAAATCCTTTTCGCATCGTTAATCGTTTTGAGACCCTGTTAACACGATCCAAAGGATGAAATAATAGACTAGTATTAAACTCCAATTTCTGACTGAAATTGTGAAAATAAAAGTAGAAACGCCGACCGTGTTTACACAAAGTATTGAAGCTCATTATTAGCAACATTTCTAGTTACTTGAATTACTTACCGGGCGCTATGCACGACGAATCCTTGACAATTTTATCAACAATTCCGTCCAAGTGGTCTAACTCTGATTCAGAGACATCATCTGGTGACGAAGCCCAATCTTCAACGTAGGGCTTAAATTTTCTAACTTGCGCTGGTTTTCCTCCTGTGATGCCAACAATTTTAACATTCTTGTTTTTCAGTATCGATGCATACTTATCCGCGATCCTTTTTTGATCCATCTTCTTTTGCCTCTCGCTTTTGGAAGTTGGAAACTCAGGATTCGGTGCGCCGTCGGTAAACAACAAGATAACGTCAGGTACATCAGGGCGGACATTCTTAGGGCTGGGTTGTTGAAACATCTGACAATGACAAAGGAATTTTTCTATATATGCGAGCATTTCATCACATGTAGTAGAGACTTATAAACATGCGAGTTGAAATATCTTTAACCATTTTGATAATTGAGGGTAAATTAATTATGATTTTTCTCAGTGGCAAGAGCATTGCACCGGCATCGCAAAAGCATAGGTTCAACTGTTCCTGGCTTGAATTTGAGCTGTGCATAATTCCACTCGAAATTAAGACCCTTTTCAACCCCTAGTATTTTGATGATCATACAATGTTGGTATAAAATCAATGCTGAATAGGCAATCTAAGACAAAAACAAACATTTACAAACCAATATTCATACGTCAAGAATTGTATAACAACTTTCAGTTTTTGGCTTCTACTAAAAAGCATGGAGCATTTTTGCAGCACTTATGTAGAAAGTCTGATGGGTCTGGCCCGCTGTGCAAGTATTTTAGTGTTCATCAGATGTGAACGATACGTGTAAAAATTGCAATTGATTTATAAAGATATTTGCAAAGTGTGAGCAAATCCTAAGGTTATGTATATATATATAGGTAGGACATTATTAAAAAATGTGGATAAACTGCGTGTTCATTTCTCTGGTTTTTAATTTCTTTAATGTTCCTTTCTGGACTATTTTATATTTTTCTTTGTCAAAATTTCAGAGAAAACGATAAATGATACGAGATACACTTCTAAAGATATTTTAAACAAGCTGTTCGAGCCAGCCTCAAAGCGAGATTCACTTGCCTCAAACCACGCAACATACCCAAATCTTATTCGGACGATTTACAGCTAATTTACCTTGTTTGCAAGTTCAAACGCTTTACCAGTGAATGTTTGATCGCCCATTAGCTCTTTTTCATAATCCAGGTTATCCAGCCACTCTGTCAACTTTGCTGGATCCGTAATCTCTCCCACATCAAGCAGTTTTTTCGTGTGTGCTTCGTCTGCGAACGTGATGAAACCTAACCGGGTGCCATCTCTTCCAACACGGAATTCTTTGTTCGTGATAAGTTTCTTCAGAAAATTTTTCACTTTCGGGTAATATGTAGAGCCGATTGATGCGGAATTGTCCCACAACACAATGATATCACTCTTGCATTCTGAAATGAGGACACACAGTATTTTTACGTTGTAGGTCTTGAAGAGAAATACTAGCAAAATAGGTATTTAAGACTCGTGATATTTCATTCTGTTGCCTTACCATAATTAAGCTATATTAATTGAAGCAAAAGCCTCATGATATTAATTTTGTCAACTGAGACTGAGCTTATTCACTCGTTGTTTAAATATTTGTTCGAGAGCAAATCTGCAAATACCACTTACTCATATTTTTATGAAGAAACCGTGTTAAAAATTTGGAAAGAATATAAGCTAAACACATTTCAATATTTCAACCAAGTATCCGAACAGAAAAAGTATTGAATCGTGGGTAATTCGGCCTATAAACGCTTAACATAAAAATGGATTCTTTGTTGGTCAATAAATATTCAGCTGCCTCGACTGCCCGTGTTCGCATTAATAGCTATCGCGCTGTGTATATTCTCTATAAGAATTTCCGGCTACTCATTTACCAGTACCTTCGTGATTTCTGCCTGGTTGAGGTTCAATGACCGGTTCCTGACGGCGCCAAAGACGATTGCCTGGTAAAGAAACACTATATTTTTGCAATCCATATTTTATCTTCTATTACTTACTAAATAGCTATACTACACCCAATTAAGTTTAGGTTGAATTGGGGTAAGAATATATTTAATACATGTTGATTCTGGTCCTATTTTAATAATATCGCTGCTATTTCGCCGTTTAACAAGATGTGGTCGGACGCGTTGACACGTCGTAGTTTGCACAGGATTGAAGATTTAATATATCTATATAAGCGCGAATTCCAAAGGCAAAGTGTAAGACAAAGCGAATGTATCATGCGGTTTATTTACATTTTTGAACAATTGAACTTCTATACTTTTAAAGTATGATGTGCTTCTGAATTTCGCGATGGAACATTTAAGGTTCGCAAGGCATCTAAATGCGAATATGAACTGTATTGTTTATGTTCAGAAGCTCTATATAGAAGAACTGGCACGTGCGCCGGAGTTAACGCCAGAACAGTCGTCTTGTTTTAATGTATAGATAAAGTCTGCAGCATATAGAAAAGCTACTGATTTGGTTGACTTCTTATCAGGTACAGTCCATCCACACACATGTAGTGAGCTCAGCAGGCAGGCAGTTAAGAGCTCCGCCGAATAGTTCCGGTTCGCTCTGGGCTTGTAAGAAACCCCTTTCGAATAGGTTTTTGGAAGAAACAATAAAAAATCAAAGATCGGTTGGACATACCGTCAATATCATTGTGAAGATTGTAAGCCAAACTTTTGTGGACGAACAGTGTTATTACTACTAGCCACTGCAAAATCATTCTTCAAATTTCACTTCAGAATTCGACGTACTTCTGGTTAAGTTTCTTTCCTTCAGATGAGCAAAATCACCTTCCAAGCTCTTCTCTCGAAGAATGCCAACCCGTTGAGACCATCGTGCTTTTATACTGTTCCCCAGATTTAAAAATGCACGTTGGTAGTTCAAATTTTGACCGTTATTTTCCGTTGGCATCCTGCGATTGTTTCCTGCCTTTGGACGAGCATAATCCATACGACGCGACATAGTTTACGCGGATTAGCCATGAAATGTCAACGGCTAGCACGTAGCATGTTTGAATACGACACGGTTCGACATCTCGAAAACTTTGTTTAACCACGGTAAACATGGGTTTTTAATTAAGATTATTTCAAGTTGTAAACATAGCGAGATTGTCTTCCCATGATTGTGATAATTGTATGCGTATCTTAATCAAACATGACAGTATAATTGTATAGGCAAAAAATGGTTAGGGGTCGCGATTCTGCTCACAAAAACAAATTATATGATTTTAAAATCCTGACAACAGTTCTATATATTTTCCAGCTCATAATATGTCGTAGATCACCCCGAAGACGGGACAACTTAATTGGATTGAAAATAGATCTTGGCCACACGGAATTTGAGAAAGTAAACAAAAGCCAAATAAGCAAGAGATCTTTTGTGAGAACAATAAATGATTCACGGAAGACATATAGTTTGTTCGCGTGTTATCTTGGTGGAAACTATTTGAAATTACAAGATGAATTATACAATATATTATATCAATTATATCATTATACAATATTTATGTTAATTATATAATTATACAATATATTATGTTAATTACATAATTATACAATATATTTATTCTCCCAGGGACTCTGGAGCAATGGATAGGCATCTCTGGGTTGATTCTAATCTATAATATTGCTAATCAATGAGAACATTTTCCATCCTATCCTCATTTCAATTCATTCAACGATTCTATTTATTTCCATACTTCTGCATGTACATCATCTGTATCAACAATAACGAGTTAAACGGCAATCGGGCATAGGGCCTATATCTCATGTCCCTGTTAGTTAAAAGAGTGCCTTGTCGTCTTGGGCAGTGTATGAGATGCAAATGCCTCACCAAGGGCCTTGTTTTTGAAGTATTCCCTACTATTTGAGAGAAACATGAACCGTTATATTTTTTCGTTGACTGCATTTGTAATTCAAATACTATTGGACTGACGAGATAATCTAGTGGGATTAAATAAGCATGTCAACTGAAACAGTCGTTTTGAATTTTTAATCTTAATCTACGTAGGAAGGTAGCGTATAGGTAGCCTAATCGCCCGTTAACACTTTGCAATAATTTATGCGATTTTCGATGCGAGGCCGTCCTTTGATAGATGTGAATGAGTGGCAAGTCAAATGCCGTTAGTAGCAGCAGCAAATGATGACAAGGCTCGCTCAAGGCCTGTCAATCACAGCTCGTGAAAGCCTAACGGTTATGAATTGAAGGCGTTGTAAGCGAATGTTCCGTGCTTTCAGGCTCTGCCTTGTCGTCTTGGGACAGTGTATAACACACTCTATGAGATGCAAATGCCTCACCAAGGGCCCTGTTTTTGAAGTATTCTCTACGTTTGAGAGAAACATGAACCGTTATATTTTTTCGATAATTGCATTTGTAATTCCATATGGTGATTCAAATAATATTGGACTGAGGAGATAATCTAGTGGGATTAAATAAGCATGTCAACTGAAACAGTCGTTTTAATTTTATAATCTTAATTTACGTGGGAAGGTGGCGTAGGTAGCCTAATCGCCCGTGTATACTTGCAATAATTTATGCGATTTTCGATGCGAGGCCCTCCTTTGATAGATGTGAATGAGCAGCAGCAGCAAATGATGACAAGGCTCGCTCAAGGCCTGTCAATCACAGCTCGTGAAAGCCTAACGGTTATGAATTAAAGGCGTTGTAAGCGAATGTTCCGTGCTTTCAGGCTTTGCGTGGGTTGGCTAAAAATGACAAAGGCGAATTTACTTATCTCTCAGAAATTGACACACATTGTCGGAAGTAAATGTTAGCAGCAAATATTCATCTTGTTTAGTGGCTAATTTGTAATATTGTTGAGCTACTGTGGATTTTACCTCGTTCAGCTGAAAACGCCTTCGAGCTGAGCGTCGTCTTTCTCGGTGTGTTAATGACTAACTGACAATTAACAACCCCGGCTGATTTCAGGTCACGTCCGCGTCGTAGATTTCGGGCATCTTAAGGTTCCCATTAGTGCATTTAAGATGCACCAAATCTACGACGCGGACGTGGCATGAACAGTAGCGTAGCCAGCCTGACGATTTTGTCCCGCTATGTAAATTTCGAGTTATTATAATTATCCATGCCTTTATAAATCCATTGTTTTCTCAGTCAGTGAACACTAAAATATTAGCATTGCGGGACAAATCGACAGGCTAGCTACGCTACTGGACATGAAAACAGCCACTAGTGTTAGGAACCGAGTAGTAAGGATTCATAACAACAGTTGTTATCCGATACGTCACCGACCGAATTAAGCATATAATATTTCATAGCGCTCATAAACGCGATCAGTTGTTACATGACGAGTGTGGTAAGCTTTGCTTGCCATACGAAACAAATTTGTTGTAATAAAGTTTTAATGGAATAAACCAGTTTGCCATTGTTATTGTTATTGTTATTGTTATTATCTCGCTCTACCATACGGTATTGAGCACTCTACCTAGATGATTTCGAACTCGATACTTGTTATCTTCATACTGATTTATGATACTTAATTATATAATATATATATAATCGCAGTAAAGACAGATAACTAAAGTTGCATAATTACCACAGCGCTGTTTCGAAGGAGCAACGGAAAGACAGTAAATAACGGGTGTTTAGTGGTGTCAAAGTGCCGACAACATTAATGTACTTATAAGGATTTGAGAGCAGTTTTTGATCGTCAATAGCGAGTTTTCAACATTTCAAAATAGTGGACTGTGGACGCTGATTCATGTTTACACGATCAACGGATTGCTATCGGAAGAGATCAAATTTTGAAGTTAATGAGAAAGACAGTTCTGTTTCTTAATTTCTGAGGCCAAATAAATATATCAAATCTATCGTTGCTTTACAACGGAAAGCGAAGATGTTGTGACCGCATTTAAACGCCGCTTAAGAGAAGTAGAGTTATTGAGTAGAGGCCACGTCACGATATCTTCGTTTGCCTTTAAAAGGCGATGGTTAGTAGCAAATGTTTATTATTTTGATAGATTTGGTATATTAATTTCAAACACTGAAAGTAAAATGTTTTACTGCCTTTTAATTTGACAACAACATTTTACTCACTCTGGAAGCAATCCGGTATAGTGTGAACGGGGCCTTAATACCTGTTGCCTATATGTTGAAGTTCAATTTCAGCTGTGAAATTTGTTGCAAATGTTGAAACATTTTAATGAAACTAGGAAATCTGTGACCTGTGAAATCATGCAGACTTGACCTCATTGAATATACAAAAACAATCGCACCGTAACCATTAGCTTCACCTGGGCCATATATAAGTAAGTAATGTTCAGATAATAAGCTCCTTTGCTGAAGGGTTTCATACTGTGCATGATATTTTAGCGTCAACACACAAATGGTTGATATTAGGTTAAAGCTACGAATAAGCTATGTACAGTTATGTGCGTTAGTTATGTGAGTTATTTAGACACGAAAATAAATCATCATCATCAAACAAAGCTGGTAAACTCATTCAAAAAAGATCCTTCGAAAAAAGATTCAGTAAAATAAAATAGTGTCGAAATTCGCAATAAGTTCTACTGGTCTAGTGGAGAAGGTAATGCCCTGCCGGGTTGCAAATTGGGGGTTCGAGTCCAAGCATGTTCGTTTTTCATAACGTCTTTTGCGAAAAGGATAAAGTCATTTAAAAACGATAGCCATTGCGTAGAAGATCTCCTAGTCTAGTGGCGAAGAAAATCGTCTCCCAAGTGGTAAGTCGGTGGTTCGAATCCGAGTGTACCTGTTTTTCATTATATCCTTCGAAGAAAGGATAAAGAAAATTGAATAATCATAATCGTTCAGCACAAAATCCAGTGGTCTAGTGGCGAAGGCAATGGTTTCCGAAGTGGTAAATCGATGGTTCGAATCCAAGTATTGCTGTTTTTCATTATGTTCTTGGCGAAAAGGATAAAGTAAATTAAATAACCATGGCCGTTGAACACAAAACGTAGTGGTCGTGTGGGGAAGACAGTGGTCTCCAAAGTGGTAAATCGATGGTTCGAATCCTACCATCACCGTTTTTCATTATGAACTTCGTGAAAAGGATAAAGTAAATTAAATAAACTGATCCGTCGAGCACAAGATCTTATAGTGTTGTGGTCAAGACGTTAGTCTCGTGTGTCGACAGTCAACGGTTCGAATCTCGTTTTGGATGAAAATTTTCGTTATTAATCAAACATGGTAAGGTTATGGTGAATAAGTTAGTGTAGGCTTCCAACAATCACCAGTTAGCCTTGTGGTAAAGTCGTGGACTATCAAGTACAAGATCGTGGTATCAAGCACACTATGGGACGTTTCTCATGGCGGTGGAATGCAAAAGAAAAAAAAAGAAAAAATGTTGGGTATGCTGCTCGAAGGAGGTTTGTACTCGGTTAATCTTTGCCAATCAAAGTTAATCTTTAGGGAAATCAGGGGATATGTAGGGTGAATGAGGGGTATATGAGTACAAAAAGACTTAGTAATAAAAAAAAAAAAGTAGTTGGGCGGCCTCGGCTCCCGGGGCAAGGAAAAAGGTATAGGTGAGGAGGCACCATATAAAATGTTTAAGTCTTTTTGTACTCATTTAAACCTCTTTACCCCTATTTATCCCCCTATTTACTCCTATCTATCCATGCTTTTACCTATCCTCATATATCCCTGATTACCCCCTAAAGCGATTAAATGTTTGAAGAAAGCTTGCTTTGAAAGTCAGGAGAGCCGGGGGAAAGAGAACCCCCTCAGTCTACTCCTCGCCCAAGGCGAGGGCATATTCGCCCTCTCGCACTACTCCTCTCACACTCACAAATTCTCACTTTATTACCTTGTTCTTTTTCGGTTAATCCCGGGCTTGAACCATCGACTGTATACTTGGCAGATCATCGTCTTCACCATTACACCACCAGTTCTTGTGGTGTAAGCCTAGAGTTTTTTATTTTACTTAATCCTTTTTGGAAGGATCTTTGATGAAATAGAAGAAAAAAAACATTCCCATCTGGGACGGACGATCTTGCGCTGAAATGCTACACTTTTTTATATTACTGAATATGTTATGGATAGGATCTCAAATGAAATAACAATTTAAAGGAGTTCTTTTTAAGGTTCATGATTTTTTCTCGTCTAAAACGCACACAACTGTATTTTATTTGTAGCTTGTAAGTTGTAACCTAATATTAGCCACTTATGTTGTCGCTGAAATATCGCATACAGTTCTTTAAAGCACTATCTTTCCATAAGTTAGTTATATGCGGCGCAAGTGAAGCTAATGGTTACGGTGCGATTGTTTTGTATTTTTAATGAAGTGAAATCAAATATAGAAACTTATCTTAGACGGGAAAGTTAATAGTAAAAACCCGTCTGAATATGAATTGGGCTGTGGCTGCATGTGGATAAATTTATACGTATGATGGTTCGGGTAATGTGTAATCATTACTGTAATAATTTTGTTTATAGTTTTCCTTAGCCTTGTTCCGTCCTTGACCGTGCTTATATATATCAGAAACTCGTCTCATTTTTCCGTCTAAATATGAATTTAAGACGAGTTTCTCTTCCAGACGGGATTCCCGATACCTCGTAGTCGTACTCTCGAAGATTACATCTGAAATCGCAAATAAATGAAGCAAATATCCAGTTAAACAGACATTGACTATTTATTTCAAGACTTTGCTGTATAAAGAGTCGAAACACTAGCTGGTCTAGTCGATTCGTCCAATATAAAATACGCTAAGAAAAAGATCAGTTCAAAAGCACAATTTACGAAGTTAACCGGGGTAACAAACAAACAAACAGCAGCTCAACAATGTTACGGCAACGATTCATAACTATTTCATTTGAAAGTTCTTCGAAGAATGGCTTCATTTGCTTCGTTTGCTTGAAAGGCTCCAATCCGCGGTAATCTAATGAAGAGAGTACGAGGCGCATGCTTGTTGCCTCATGACTATACGCGTTATACACATACATTTTTAGCCGAATTCATATAACAGACGGGAAAGCTCGTCTTAGAGGGGAAGCTCATCGAAGACGGGAAACTCGTCTGATGTGAATCACAGACGCGTTTCTCTTCCGAATTTTCCCGTCTAAACAGACGGGTAAGTTGGACGGGAACCCGTCAGGAAGAGAAACTCGCTTAAATTCGCATTTAGACGGATAAATCAGACAAGTTTCTGATATAAGCACCGTCAAGGACGGAACAAAGCTAAGGGAAACTAAACAAAATTATTACCGTAATGATTACTCATTACCCGAACCATCATACGTATAAATTCATCCATATATAGTCCAATTCATATTCAGACGGGTTTCCTGATCGACTACGATCAACTTTCCCGTCTAAGATGAGTTTCTAATATGAATCCGCCCTAATATGAATTCGGCTATTCTTAATTCTTGTAGTTTTTTTCTTTTAAGCCTATTTTGAAATGCATTATTAATTCTCGTACTTTACTTTGATTTCACTTCATTAAAAATACAAAACAATCGCACCGTAACTATTAGCTTCACTTGAGCTGCATATAACTAACTTATGGAAAGTTAGTGCGTTATAGCACAGCGTAACTGTATGTGACATTTTAAACACAAGTGGCTAATATTGGGTTAGAAGCTACGAATAATATACAGTTGTGTGCGTTTTAGACGAGAAAAAATCATGAACATGAAACGGAACTCATTTAAATTGTTAGTTTCACTTAAGATCCTACCCAAAAGGTATTCAGTAAAATGAAAAAGTGTAGTATTTCACCGCAAGATCGTGCGGTCTACTGGTAAAGGCAGTGCTCTCCGAGTTTAAAGGCGGAGGTTCGAGTCCCAGATGGGAATGTTTTTTTCCTTCTATTTTATCAAAGATCCTTCCAAAAAGGATTAAGTAAAATAAGAAACTCTAGGCTTACACCACAAGAACTGGTGGTGTAATGGTGAAGACGATGATCTGCCAAGTATACAGTCGATGGTTCAAGCCCGGGATAAACCGAAAAAGAACAAGGTAATAAAGTGAGAATTTGTGAGTGTGAGAAGAGTAGAGTGAGAGGGCGAATATGCCCTCGCCTTGGGCGAGGAGTAGACTGAGGGGGGTTCTCTTTCCCCCGGCTTTCCTGACTTTCAAAGCAAGCTTTCTTCAAACATTTAATCGTGTTAGGGGGTAATCAGGGATATATGAGGATAGGTAAAAGCAGGGATAGATAGGAGTAAATGGGGGATAAATAGGGGTAAAGAGGTTTAAATGAGTACAAAAAGACTTAAACATTTTATATGGTGCCTCCTCACCTATACCCTTTTCCTTGCCCCGGGAGCCGAGGCCGCCCAACTACTTTTTTTTTTATTACTAAGTCTTTTTGTACTCATATACCCCTCATTCACCCTACATATCCCCTGATTTCCCTAAAGATTAACTCTGATTGGTAAAGATTAACCGAGTACAAACTTCCCCCAAGCAACATACCTATCATTTTTTTCTTTTTTTTCTTTGGCATTCCACGTACCGTACCGTTCTTGATAACACGATCTTGTACTTGATAATCCACGACTTTACCACAAGGCTAACTGGTGATTGTTGGAAGCCTACACCAATTTATTCACCATAACCTTACCATGTTTTATTAATAACGAAAATTTTCATCTAAAACGAGATTCGAACCTTCGGCGGTCGACACATAAGACTAACATCTTGACCACAACACTACGAGATCTTGTGCTGAACAGCTAAAGTTATTTAATATACTTTATCCTTTTCACGAAGTTCATAATGAAAAACGGTTATGGTCGGATTTGTACCATCGATTTACCACTTGGGAGACAACTGTCTTCCCCATAAGACCACTACATTTTGTGTTAACAGCCATGGTTATTTAATTTACTTTATCATTTTCGTAAGGATATAAGAAAAGAACATAATGATAAACAGCGATAATTGGATTCGCACCATCGACTTACCACTTCGGAAAGCATTGCTTTCGCCACTAGACCACTGAATCTTGCGCTAAACGGTTATAATTATTTAATTTACTTTATCCTTTCTTCGAAGGACATAATGAAAAACAGGTACACATGGATTCGAACCATCGAAATACCACTCTGGAGACGATTTTCTTCGCCACTAGACTAGGAGATCTTCTGCGCAATGGCTATCGTTTTTAAGTGACTTTATTCTTTTCTCAAAAGACGTTATGAAAAACGAACATGCTTGGACTCGAACCCCCAATTTGCAACCCGGGAGGGCATTACCTTCACCACTAGACCAGTAAAACTTATTGCAAATTTTTGCACTATTTTATTTTACTGAATCTTTTTCGAAGGATTGTACATAAATTTCCATGTTTCAATGAGTTTATCAGTTTTGTTTGATGATGATTTATTTTCGTGTCTAAAACGCACACAACTGTACATACCTTATTCGTAGATTTAACCTAATATCAACCATTCGTGTGTTGACGCTAAAATATCATGCACAGTATGAAACCCTTCAGCAAAAGAGCTCATCATCTAAACATAAGCTAGTTAAATATGGCCCGGGTGAAGCTAATGGTTACGGTGCGATTGTTTTTGTATATTCAATGAGGTCAAGTCTGCATTTTTTCACAGGTCACAGATTTCGTAGTCTCATTAAAATATTTCAACATTTGCAACTGATTTCACAGCTGAAATTGCACTTCAACATATAGGTAACAGATATTAAGGCCCCGTTCAATTAAAAACGCTACTTCAATCTCTTAAGCTGCGTTTACACGCGGTGTCCGCTCGTCCCAACATCTTCGCTTCCTTTGCAAGGTGACAATTATTAATAAATGCTTCTTAATTTAGTGGATTTTATATCTTTATTCTGGGCTCCAAAATTAGAAAACAGCACTGTCTTTCCCATTAACTTCAAAATTTGATCTCTTCCGATAGCAATCCGGTGATCGTGTGAACAGAGCTTAAACGAATCAGCGTATAAAAACGGTCATAGTAGGATTCGAACTATCGATTTACCACTTAGTAGAGGGTTGTCTACGCCACTAGACTCCGAGATCTTGTGCTGAACGCCAGGCATTTTTAAATTTATTATATCGTTTATAATTTACTATAACAAGACCGCGATTTCTTCTTCAGAACGACTGACGCGTTATTTATGTTACTATAACCTTCATAATGAATCAGGTCATAATGAAAAACAGATTTAATTGGATTCAAACCATAGCTTGCCGCCTTCGAGATCATTGTCTCCAACACTAAGTGCATATAGCGATGAATCTTAGTTATTTATTAATTTTTTTACAGGTGATGGTAAAAATAGTTTTACCTGGGTTCGCACCTTCAACTTATACCACTTGCGAGTCCTTTGTCTTCACCAATACACCACAAATCTTTACCGACACAACACAAGCAAGGGCTATTTATTTTAGCGTCTCTTCGCCATTAAGCATAAAATTCTAATAACTTTTATATCTTAAAAAATGTATTAAAGTTCTTAACAGTTATTAAAAGCTGCCATTTCGGCTGACAAATTTGGATTGATAGCCGGCTACGCTTGTGATGGACAGGATGAGTGAGAAACTAATGCTTTTCATATTCCACCTTGCTTTGGAACATACACATGTCGTGATTTAGAAAATCTCTTGCGCTAACAGGACGCAATTATTAAAACTGCAGCTTCATATGTACGTTAGCTCAGAATGTGGTGTCGGAATGCAGCCACGAGATGGGTATTCGCTGGAATATGAGCCTGGGTACGATATTAACACCGGGAGTTTGTTAGGAACATAAGTGAAGCCACGTTTTCCTGCGGTCGGATTTCGTGATTTCCCGCACGATTGCGTCCAAACTGCAAGAAAAATGGCAGGGGAATTAATTAATAATAAAAAAATGCAACCATCAGTCTCTTAAACACGAAGTTCCAGGTGTAAATTCCTGTTCGCTGTTATAAGGGGCGCAGGAACCACTCAGGGGCGTGAGAGGCAGACATTTAGAACAGGACACATTTTCTTTTGCCACATGGTGAGAAATGTGAGCCTGTAAGTACACACAGATTTTTAGACTCTCAGTAGAACTCATTTCAATGATATCATTGGATTTTAAGTCGTCATATTCATTATAACATAGCCATAGTTTTATATTTGAAATTAAGATAAAACGCTGAATGAAAGGTATTGCAATACTATAGCAAAAGGAACGGGGAGGCTCCCGCCCATTGAAATCGCCTGATGAGGATGATCAATATTACCTACCATGAAAAGAATGTGGTATTATACTTCGTTTCTGCAGCCAGTCCATCAGGGAAATGAATCCTTCTTGAACACGCATGGCGGTCGGATGATCGCTATTGTCTAGAGCGAAAACAATTCTCAAAGCCGATTCTTGTACAGGTTGTATTAAAAATTACAATTTGAGTACAAGGTAAAATACACGAGAAAAAATATATCGACTCTCACAATTTTTTTGCCAGGGACTAATATACCATATACCCGTATATTCGACCTTTACTGATTTCACTTCACTTCACTGAGTATATCATAGCCATATATACTAATATATTCGACCGTCACTATTTTTTATTACCAAGGTTGAGTATACCACATACTGGTATACTCAACCTACACTAATCTTTTTATTACCAACGTTGAGTTTACCATGCACTGATATACTGGTATATTGGACCTTCACTATTTTTTTTATTACCAAGGTGGAGTATACCATATGCTGGTATATTTAATCAGTGTAATCATGGTCAGATGTGTTGAACGTACCTGCAATTGAACAATGATGGTGTCGACACAATGTGAAATCATATATTTTCTTTGCAGCCGGAAACACTGCCGATGAAATCAGATCGCTTCCCCAAAAACACCAGAACTCCCTGACTTGATCACCTATCATCCCATCTGCCAGAAAAAAGATAATGTCAGTTCAATACCAGATCAAAGTCGTCTTCTTTCAAGGGATTATGTAATGTATACCATGAAGTAATACACGTGTAGAAATGATCATGTTGACAAACGTTTTTTAAATAATAGTGAATATTGTGCTGCACCCTGTTAGTAGCATTGCTAACAATAGTTATTCAACCTTCAATACTGTTGCCACTGAGTTGTGATATCGCTCTGCTTTGAAGCGATTTTGTTTGTAAGAAAACCTCAATCGTTCCTGAACATGGCAAAATCACAAATCAAATTAGCCTTGACAATCAAACTACGTCATGCATTGCGCGTTTGAAAGCTAAAAGCGAAAGGCCTATCGATAATTTTGAAGCTTTTTATTTACGATCAAAAGGCATGCACTAAACGGATTTTTAAGGTCATCATGAATTGCAAATATTTATCACCTTTAATCAAAGCATCGATGTTCAGGAATTCTTTTCCGGAACAATACTGTGATTGCAGGCGAGCCAACATATCCTCGGCGGACGCCAAGACTCGGGGATCTTGTATCCTCAACATCAACTCGTACCTACATATCCTGTAATGTTCCTCGAAGCTTCTCAGTGTACCCATCATCCTCTGACGCAACATCTTGTAGAGTGAACTGACGCTTTTGTACTGAAATTCGCTCAACAACGTCTGCATTTGCGCATCGACCATGAGATTCACGATTGTTTCGACCGCTAACGTTTTCAGTTCGCGAGAAAAATCGTGTACGAGGTAATGCCACTGAAAAGGAATAAATCGTAACAAAGATTAGTAAAAGTACAAAGTTTGACTGCGAAATATTGCTATATACGAAAAATATTACCTTGGTGGTAGCTTTGGCAGAATATGATAAACAAAATTAACACGAATGCAAAAGTATACAATTTCAAATTTTGCATGGCTATAACTGGACCATTTTACAACATTTTGCAACCGTTCCTGGCAGTTTTACTAATTTCAATCTATGTTGTAGTGGTCCATTTTTATTATATTGCCTAGACTGGCGCAAATTAGCGTAATTTACTAGACAACGACATTCTCCGTCTCATGTAGAAAAACGAATGAGCAAAAGTGAAGACAAAATACCTTTGGAACGCGTATTTTCTGCAATGGACATGAGCACATGACCGTCAAATGTTTGATATGTTCCAAAATTCCATCCACCCCTCCTGAACGATACAACGTCACCAACACCAACGGACATTCGGGGGTAGCGCAGGATAAAAGTCGAGATTCGAGTAAATCAAATCCGGGAATGTAATTCGGCAGCGTTCGACACAAGACGTATGCCTCGGAAAACTTGGCATCGTTGATCTCTTCCGAGAAAATTTCTCGTGCTAGTTCTCTCATCGGCACGGTTGCAACGCTCACGTGCTCATTGCCGTCGGTGACGTCACAGCTCCTGATGTATTCGCTGTGATAGTTCACATATCGAGCAAAGCTATTGAGATCTTCAGAGCGCAAGTATGGTTGTAGGAATGGATGTGTGTAGGTAGCGTAGCCCTCGAGAGGCACCTGAAAGATATATCGATATTCGGTATTGATCCCATTTTGGAACACTTGGGAAATACACACGAAATTAAATTAAAAATACATTCATCAATAAAATTATCAAAGGAGATGACCCTAAATTAACTTCTAAGTTAACTTTATTTTAAAAATGTAATGGTGAAAATTATTTGAATTTGTTATAATTGTTATCGAAGAAACCGTTAACTTCTAAGGCTTTTAAAACCTAACCCAAATTTTATGAAGAGGGGTTTTAAATACAGTCTTAATTATTTCTTGAATCAGCGAAGCAAAAGTAGCAATGCATTCATACCAAATTTTCGTCTGAACTGCATTTTCTTGATTGATCGTCTCGTTTTTTGATGGACGATCTCTTTGGTTCTGGTTTTGGATGGTCGTGAGTTCCCTTTGACTCGAATTGGATGTGCTCCATGTGATGGACCCAGAAATGGGTCACTGGGTAACCGTTGTTTCCTGGAATAAACACACATCACCAATGGTTACAGTGATCCAGTGTGATCCAGTTCAGCACACGGACTCGATTCGTTAAGGCCCGTTTACACTTGTAATTTTTGCAGCGATTTTATGTGCGATTTTTTTCTTTTGATAGATATGAACGAGCAAAAAATCGCAAGCAAAAATTGCAAGTGTAAACGGGCCTTAAAGCAAATTCTATTGTCATCATCATTCATCGCTAAACATGCGTCTTCTCTCTTTTTTCTCAACTTAACACTTTGAGACCATCATTTTTAGTCCTTCTAGCTTGGAAGGTTGATGAGTCAATGTTAAATAGGATATTTACACCTTTTGAACTCAAATATTATCTACTTGAAAAAACTGATGGAATGAAGACAGTTTAAATCTAAAATATCTAGTTGGAGACTTCACTGTTCTATTCAGCCTGAATCTAAATGCGAGAGATGGAATGTTAAGAACATACCGGTACATTTTCTGTGAACAATACGCCCATTCTTGCATTCAGAGTTCGGACACTGTTGGCCAAGTTGACGTTCTCTCACTACATCAAAAGACATTAATTTAGCTAGGGACATGATAAAAGATTTTGACCACAGTCACCACACTGCGACTATTACGATCGAATTCTATTATTACTAATGCGACAATTCAACAAAAGTTTGGGATTAAGAATGCCCAATACCACTTCTCCAATCTCTATTTACCTTTATCGGATATCGCTGGACGAATTCGAATTTTTGTGCCATCTTTGAAACGGCAGTTTTCGGAACACATCAAAACTCCCACGCACGTTTTCTTCAAGACGTACTTGTTATGATTGTTTGTGTACTTCATGGCCCAGCCAGAGGAGTGGGACTGAGCCTCGCGTGACGTCAGACAATATCGACGCTTCTCATTCCCGTCTATCCACTCCCTGTAGTCGTCAAAATGAGTTTGTGAGTCTTCTTGCTTTATCGGTTGTTCGTCGGAGGCGATGATTTCATCTTTGCATTCAGCACGAGGCTCAAACTTCGATTCTGAAGAAATTCGCTCATCATTGTCAGATGTCTGTGGCCTGTACAAGGAAAGAAAAATGCTTTTAATTCACCAACTAAAATGACTTAAAACGATAAGCAAAATAGCGTAGGAGATATTTGATATATTAAAAGTATTTTAGGATTTGCAGAGGATTTGGATACGCTTCTGGAAGCCATTTTTGAAGATTATAAGTGTGTTAAAAAGTAAAAGCGATCAGCATTCAGAATGCTCGACCTTTTTTTAACTGTATCTCCAGGGGCGCCGGAATATCGATAATAACGGGGGCAGATATTCATATATTCGTGTTCTGCATTATTAACTCCTTTTGAAATCGATTGTTTTTACGATCTGCGAACACGAATATATGAATATCTGCCCCCGTCATTATCGATATTCCGGCGCCCCTGTGTATCTCTTAATCCTACGAAGGTATTTTAATTTTATGGAAAATGAGAGACATAATCCTATCTGGGTATCTTTTCCAAAAGGAGAGGGGAGAAAATACTAAGAATTTGCCATAAGAGTTTTCATCAAAACCTAAGGTTTGGATACCTTAAACCATTATGTAAAGCTCATATGCTATGTCTCCTGACGATGGCCCGTAGGCCGTGCTTTTGTCTCCTTGCTTATATTGCATGGAACGTGTCTATTTGAACAGGAGCAATGAGACAAACGTTGCTTTATCAATTTAACTTGCTGACCCATTCGAAATCAGTGGCACTTATAAAAGTCATAATAATGTTCCCGATAAGATCGTCTTCATCCGGCTTTTCTCCTTAGACTGTTTTGTGAATTTTCATTAGTCATCATCAATCAGTTTCATTGAAATAACGCTGATGTATCTTCTAAAACTCTCTTAATTGAAAAATAGATGAAAAGGATATGGACACAAACAAAGGCTAATCTTTCTGTACAAACCTTTGCTTCTTCGGTCTGGAAACAAATTCAGAGGAACAAATTGGACTAAAAAGAAATATGCTTCGTATGAATAATATCAGGTTAGGGTGATGAAGATGAATTCAATAATTTTTAATGCTGAACCTTTATCGCGCGTATGATAGCTTGCGTCGTGCGTAGTTTAAGACTCTCCTAGATCATCGTTCAGGGGACGACCTACTTAGTACGATAACCGGATTTCACACAGCGACACCTGCGTTAATCTAATATGGCCTATTTGCACTAAGCATTTAATCGTAAGCGACTCTAATCATGGCGTAAGTGATCGAATAAACACGTATGCAAACGGTATTTATTGAATATCTCTAGGGAAAATAAGCAAAAATATGATATAGGTATAGTACTATACTATTTTATTCGCCAGACTGACAATCGTATGCAACCAATCGTGTTGTGAAAACATGCTTTGGATTGGTTTTTATCATGCTTTTCATGATGATCAGTGTCCAGTCATTACCTTTCTTTGGGGTTTCTGATGATGTTGGACAGAGCAAGATTGAACGTTTCCAACAGTCCTTGATCAGAATTTGCCTCGGGCAGTTCACCTAAAAGAAAGAACATTGAGAATTGTTATATGGGTGCTGTGTATTTTAAATGTGATTGGTGCAATGTTTCCCGCCTGGGAAACAAGTGAAAAATTGTCGCCCGCATATTGTCATAACAAAGTAAAGTGATTTTTTTTTAAATGAAATTGTTGTGTAACATGTATGTTTTTGTCCCTATATAACAAAGCACTTAATGTACACTACCTCGGGAAATAGTGAGTTTGTTTTCCCTCGAGTCTCCGGCAATGTTTACTTCGACTTCGTCTCGGGAAGCATTCAGACTCTTGGGAAAAGAAAACTTACTATTTCCCTCGGGAGCATACATTAAGTGTATCGTATTGAGCTCAACACGAAAATGGTGTTATTATATATTAATGAGGTGTAACTATACTTCTTACAACTACACAAAACACAAGATTTCGACTTGTTTTATAAAGTATAACAAAACGTAAAATTGATTAAAAACTGCGGAATGGATTTCAATTTCGACAATCCAAACATAGACGTCATGCATTGCCAACTATTTCCATAATTATGCCTGTCATCAGCGAATTTGCCTTACCAGTGGAATTACAGCAAATTTGCATATGAAAATTAACTTCAAAGTTGCCTGCTAGTTATGTTAATAATAAAATTGGAGCAAAAATGAGCAGATTATAGCTACTTGCTCAAAGGAATACTTCAATTTCGGACTTACTTCGAGAGGTATTTAATTTTGTGCCCGATTTCGGATAACCCGAATCGTTAGAAGAGTTTTTAGAAAGGCAAGACGAAAATTAAGGATCCTGTGCAGTTTAGTGTATTGCTGTTGAAGAACCCACGCGTGAATAATCCTGTCCTCAAAAGGAAAGGTTAATTAAATTATAATTATCACTTAATTTTTGAACTGGGCCACAGATCATCATTAAATCATCAAATTATCGTAATAGGAAACGATGATTTTACAAATTCCCCCGTTTTTAATGCTTTTTATATAAATTTACACTACAAGTTTTTTTCTCAGGTGTATCCGCTATCAAACAGCAACGTATCGCGGACTCATTGTGTGAAATAGTTTGTGACATGAACATATATTCATAAAAAACCCAGATACATGAAATTACCTTTCTCGTCAGGAGTACAATCGGATCTTTCAACGTTCATCTTCGATTCCCTATAGTCTGTATATACGTATATTCGTTGCTCTAAAATTAAAACGAAGAATTAGTTACGTCAATACAAGTTGTGTGTAGTCACAATCGCACAATAGGCAGAAGAAAACAAGAAAGCAATTAACTTTTGTTTTAGTAAAATGTACATCATCCTACTTGTGAGCTGGATTTACATTCAAAGTATGTATAATTATGTAATGACAGTTTTTTAATGGATTACATTTGTAGACGACTCTCTGCATGGTGCCGATTTAAGAGAGTAGTTGAAGTTTCGCTACGGTTAGTGCAAAAGTTAGCCGATCAAAATAGCGTCCAGTTATGAGTTATCCATTCTACCTTCATACAGTGAACGAATAGTGCAGCCATTCTACCGAAAGTTTCAAGCCCGGACAAATGTGACTGGACAAAAGCCCGGAGACTAGCTATTAAGTTGTCAGCCCCTCAGGTTAACTATTTGCTGAGCTATCTTTATAGCAAAAGTGCCTTTGCAAATTACGATAACATATGCTACACATGCTTTATAATCTGCTTCAGGTGCTCCCCGATATAGGAACATTCGATTGAACTGAAATGAAAGTCTGAAAAAACTACTGGAAAATTTGCCGTTGATATTGAGGAACCCAAACTCAAATACTCAAATCACCTCGAATTTATTCCATTCCAATTTTCACTCGCCCAAAAGCTTTTCCAAATATTCCATTCATCGACACAAGTCACGTATCATTTAGCGAACACTATGTCACACTAGCTTCATGGATGCACGAGGACTTTTAAAATATACGGCAGATCCTTAAATGATGAAGATCCTCAAATGCTCACTTTGCACTCGAAAGCATTAAGACAGCGCAAAGGAAGCCACTTGCAAGAACTGATATCACGCTAATGCATAACGCAATGGAAATCCTCTTTATATGACTTCTGCATGCATATCGCGATCAAAACAACTAAATTATAATCCCTTTCAATAGCGCGGGTATTTCGAGTTGATTAAATATGGGAAGCGTTCGATTTTGACGTTTCCAAAATTGAGCATGTCAACAACATATGACAATCGGGTGAAATGGATAAAAAAACGGACATTAAATGCACGCATCAGGTATAAGGCTTATCAAAGTGTTTTAAAGTGCCCGCGCTTTCAGTCAAATTTAGCTGCAAAGTCGTGCTGTCATTATAGAGATAGAGTCGATGAATAAAATGCTAATCGACATGAATATTGATTCTTTTAACCCTCGAGAATCCCTCCCATGTAATTATCAAAATGAATTCAACCAAACTAAAATAGCAATGCGTGACACGAGAAGCTATGCGTTTGTGTATGTTTGTGTATGTTCTTATGTCTATTATCACACAATGATGGAAAAGTAATTAAAATAAATTAAATGCAAGCATCTCCGACGGTAAGGAAGAAGAAATAAGAAGATATTTTGAAGAAGAAAAGGAAAAAGAAGACGAAAAAGAACAAGAAGAAGAGGAGGAGGGAAGAGGAGAAGAACATGTGGAGAACAATAACTCGGTTTTCAGCGATTTTCTTGAAGCCCGTTGCAGGTGTGGATCAAACAAATAAGCAGGACTTTTTCCATTTCCGGATGAGAAGTTCTTCTTGCTTTATTGTTACACGCACACACGCATAATGAGACCGAAGGTAGGAGCCGAGTTCAGGAACGTTTAGTGTTCAAATTGCTTAACATTTATTAATCAATTTTGGATTTTATTTATCCATTTGGGTATACGATTTCGGCATTACTTCTTTGCTGCACCGTTTGGAGGTTCTTTCTTGTCTTGCTCCCCCCCCCCCCTCCACTTTAAAATCCTTAAGAAGAGCCGTGGAGAAAACGACCGTACTTAACCTTGAAATTGCGCTTTTTTCGAATATATACACATATTATTGCCAATGCTAATTGCTAATACTCTTTTTCTGCAACAAATTTAGTCAAGATCAGACCTAGAATTTCTTTGGATGACGTTGGCTCGTTTCGGGGTGCAGCTTCCATCGCTATCATCAGTTTTAGCGTTTAAAGTACCAGGGCTAGAAAACTCTGTTCCTTTAAGGAAGGTTTGTTTCGCTCTGAACCGATTTTAATCGTTTTCAAAACCTTGAATAAGATATGCTCATGTATATAATTATAATATTTTACTGGTTATCACCTTCCGATATTATAAACTACAGATAGCGACACCATCAGTTGCAAGGATGAGATATCCAGAGCAAACAGATCGCTTCATCAAGCAATTGTACCAAGTGAGTGAACAATTAAGAAATAGAAAACATTTTCCGTGTTTCTATACAGTTATAGAAACACGCGTGGGAGTTTGGGAGAACGAGAAATAATCAGTGAATCAGTCACAGGCGAGCACTTCAGGAGATGATAAACTTGAGATATCGACTTCTAGTTTAACAGTATGTTCGTACCTAGTTAACTGAGTATCTCCAAATAAGGTTGCTATATTGTTCAAAAAAATATTCAAAACAGACTGAGCTATTCCAGTTGTTGGATGCAATACAATCCGACCAAAATCGCGGCTGGTGGAAATCCAACGCTGACTGTTCCACTCGTGATCTTCTCCGACGAGACCAGTGGAAACAGGAGCAAAAAGTGGAACCAGTTGGAGTCATATTCCATGTTCCTTGCAGGCCTACCAAGAAAAGAAGTCACCAAGTTTAGTAGCATCCACTTTAACTTGGTATAGACTCAATATCACTAGGAAAGGAAATTGCAACAGATTTAAAGGGTATGTATCCATTGAGAAACAAATATAGGTCAGTAAAACTAATTTGCTATTGCAAAATTACCACTTATTGACATTGGTAGTTCTTTTTTCAGCTTTAGAACATGGAATGTTAATGTATGACGCAACTCAGTAATGATTGCCAAGTATTCGTTCAATGCCCAGTACTGATCGTAGCCTGCGACAACCCTAGGGCGTCTGAATTTGTACACCACATGGGCAGCTCTGCTAAACATTTCTGTCGGATATGCCATGTAGGTTTAATTTGCTTTATGCTTATATTTATAAAATATATTTATCAAATAATCATTATCATTAATGTTTTGATAATTTCACGACAGGCAACGACGGAAATAGCAGCGGACGTTGGCACTCTGAGAACCAAAGACAACGTACAAAGAACAATTGAAAGAATAAGTAAGGCAAAGTAAGTTGCCTGACAACGTTGATATACAGCTAACTCAATTTAGGTTGTTTTTCCAAAAACGTAAACCTTTCATTCTGAGCGTGTAAAGCAAAATAGGTTATTGCCAATTTCCCACCCTTGCAATAAAGACCTAACATCCTATGCACGTTCAGAGTTTTCAATATATTCGTGTACTAGAAATACATGCATGCAGCAACCCCCCGCCTCGGTTAAAAAAAATTAGTTAATGATTGTTAGAAATTTTATGTGGTTTGGGGGTTTTGGAGGGTACATGGTATTTGAGAAATAGAAATTGAGAAAAGTATGGAAATATTTTTCTGCACGTGGAAACACTGTAGTCATAGCAACTCCGACTCGCAACGGTCGTATATTTTTAAAGAATCAAAGTTTACCCATAGGTAGCCCAATGCGCTGCATTACGTACGTCACTTGGGTCACGTGGAGTATATAATAATATAAGGTTGGCAAGAATATTTTATTTTCAATATACATCGTTTAAATATGATCAAAATATTAACATCTATTCTATAAAATACGCCAAAAAAATAACAGCCCCTAAGTGTAGGGTAGTTTTACTAAATTTGTACGTCGTTTTTTTGCAATGAAACGCGATTAAAAAATGAAAATATGCCAGAAGTTTGTTGAAATTTGCCGTGTCCCGATGCGGGATGCCTGTTGCCGTGCAAAAACATCAATTTGAAAACTCGTATACGCGATCCTATTGGTCATCACAAAACGGTCAAAGCTGCATGACTAATAGGATCGCGTATTTTATAGAATAGATGTTAATATTTTGATATATTTAAACGATGTATATTGAAAATAAAATATTCTTGCCAACCTTATATTATTATATACTATATACGTGACCCAAGTGACGTACGTAATGCAGCGCATTGGGCTACCTATGGTTTACCCTGATATTTTTGTGAAAAAATGACAAAAATACGACAAGATTCTTACCTTTTTCTGGAAGTTAAGTTACTCATCTATATTCAGTGTTATGGTAAATTATTTTAATTATTAAATACCATGAAATATAACATCAGACGTCTCATACAAGTGATACAACGCTTCGACTGGTTTTTGTACGGGAATGAATCTTTTCATTTTGTTTTCTTTTTGTCATTAGGAAAACGGAGTTTATAAAGAAAATTATAATGTCGTTTATCACATAACACATTCAGATTTATAGTGAAATACATTTGAGAATATTAAAGTTGTGTTTGCCACAAAAGAATTACTTTTTAAAGCTGTGCCGGATGAAATATTATCAAGTGTAAAATCTTCCGACTTCATTATACACGGTGAATTCGGTCGAAAATTTGGTCTTGTTATTTGTTAAACCGTGAAAGATTTCCCTCTAATTTAGTAAAAATACATATATTCCATATTTATAAAAGTATAAATTTATAAATTTCATCGACATCGAAATTTTGCTAAATGACAGTTATTCATTGACGTTTGAAAATACAAATTTTTGTCTCGACCAATCAAGAGCTTAGACTTACCACATTCGTGCCGTTCCAGGTATCAAGACCGCGATCACAGATTACCCAGATATCTCACTTCTGATTAAAAAAGCGTAAGCGCTTGCTCAGCAAGTGACTAGAGGCATCCCCCCCGAAATTTCAAAATGGAGCCGAACTATTTTATACATGGAAAAAAACCTCCTCTCATTTGCTAGAGAAGGCGACTGTGTAGTTACGTTTGTGTCTGAATCCATCATCATCTATACGCGCTTTGGAAAAGTGAGTTTAGAGTACCTCGTTTTCAATATTGAACGAGTGTTTTATCTTTTTTTCGATTGTCGTAGGAGCGGAAAATTATAAGCAGTA